TCAGGAGAATGGAAACAAAAACCTTAGCAGCGATATCAATCAGACTTATGCCTCGGTAGTTCTCGCATATTGACCTGTCTCCCTTTTTGTGGAACGGTAGCAGAACTGAGGTGCTCCAATCGGAAGGAATGGTTTCGGACTCCCAAATTGGGCAGAACAGCGAGTGCAGTGCATCGATTAGCGCTGGAGTGCAGGCCTTGTATATTTCTGGAGGTAGACCATCTTCGCCCGGAGCTTTTTTGTTTCTGAGTCTGTTAATTGTTTTAGCTATTTCGGTTGGAGTGGGTGGATCGCAGTCAACTACGTAGGGTGTTGGTAAGTGTCGTATCGGTCGATGAGACGGTTGACCAGCGTCGCGATTGAGTAGCTACTTGAAGTGTTCGGCCCATCGTTCCATCTTACCATTGGTGTCCGAAATAATTTCTCCTGATGCTGTGCGTAACACAGCATGACTGTTAAGGCGTTTGCCAGATGATTGGCGTATGAGGCGATAAAGTTTTCCGAAATCGCCTACATTTGATGCTGCTTCCATGTTAGTCGCCACGTTAGACCAATAGCGATTTCTGTCGTTCCTAGCAGACTGTGTAGCTTTGCGCCTGAGGGAGCGATAAACTGGAGACTTTGCTAGGCGAGCGTCTCTGGCTTGCGAGGATAGAAGCATGGTGTGCTCTGAAATCCAGTCTTTCTGCTTCTTGGATGTGGTACCCAAATGCGACATTGAAGCTTTAGAGACTACTTCTTTGAAATGATTCCATCGTGTCTCGGGTGTATTAGAAGATGTGGATGTTGGTTCATCTGCGGTGCTTAGTTCGGCCTGGATTTGTTTGGACAAGGCTTGTCGCTTTGTCGAACATTGAAGCGGGGCAACATTGATACGCTTCGGAGGTCGCACCTTCTGGCGTGTCGTTAAACGAAGTTTGAATTTCGCCCTAACTAGAGTATGGTCTGATCCCCCTTTATTTCCGGCCTCTGCTCCACGATAGGATCGACAGTCTTCCACCGAGGAGATCCAGCGTGAGCGCACTAGAATGTAGTCGATCTGATGTGCAGTGCGACCGTCGTTCGAATACCAGGTGAGAAGATGTTTTCTTGGGTGTTGAAATCGAGTGTTGGTGATATATAATCGATTGTAATCAGAAAAAGCTAAAAGTCTATCACCATTACGGCAGCGCTGATCGAGACCGTGTTTGCCTAGTATACGTTTTGTCGCGTCGTCTGAAGGGCTAGTGCGGGCGTTCCAATCGCCGGCTACTATGAGAACGTCACGCTTTGGGATTTTGTTGATTGCCTCTTGAAGATTGTCATAAAATTCGTCTTTGATACTTTCATCAGAGTTGAGGGTTGGGGCATAGACAGCGAGAACAGAAATGTCGAGCGGGGAACCCTTGAACCTAGCGACTGCAACTCTGGAGTTGACCGGTTCGAATGATATTAGGGCATTATTGGCTTTGTTACTGAGAGCAAATGCTACCCCGTGTTGTCCCGAATTATTCTGGGGTCCACTATGAAGCAACCAGAATGAAGAATCTGTTCCAGGTACGGCTATTCGGCGGGAGCCATGATCGGGTAACCTCACTTCAGATAGACACGCTATGTCTACCTTGTAGTCATATAAAGAACGCATGGTGATAGACTGGCTACCAGGATCCAACAGCGTCCTAACATTCCAGCAGCCAACAAATACTTGGTTTCTAAGTGTTAATTTCCCAGCTAGCTTACTTTTCACACTGGCCACCGGGTGAGCACAGGGCGCGTCGCTTACCGGGAACGCCGTAGCATGGTGAGAGTTGTTTGTAGGAGAGTTCATGAAGTTTCTTGGGAATTTGGTACGAGTGATGTCCCCAGAATCGCTCGGCCTTTTGTTTGAGAGTGCAGCTCTAGCCTTTACACAGCCAAGTGTGACCTACAAGGCAGTAGGAGTGGAGTAAGGAGTCCACTATCCATTGGCAGCCGGTGACCGGAGTTCGGTTCATACGCCTTTTTGAATGGGGCCAGACATCCAGGACATCCAACAAGCCCTTTGTCCATACGACTGCCGGTGAGCTCCGGTGAGCTTCACACGCCAGTCGTTGAAGGTTTGGAATCAGGGTTTAGCCATCTCCCCTAGACTGTCATCCAATGGACAGTCAACCCGGTGGAGAGCGCCGGGCATCCGCTTTTGCCCTCTCACTTTAGTGAGAAACACCTCCGCCACGTGAAGGCAGTGAGTAGGACTTCCTCAGGAGAGGCTATGTAAGACGCACGGTCATATGGGAGCATTTCAAGAGGTGTGCGGAGGGGTGGCCAACCCGCAGCGCAAGATACCCACCCCCGACCATCCTGAGGCTTTGGAGGCAAGAAGACTATAGAGCGAATGTCTCGAAGTTGTTTGATTATAACTGGCGATATTATTATGAACAATGCATAAATTGCTGTCGAAACCTTCACTATCTGATGTATCTAATATACGCATTTATATGAAATTCACTTTTAATATAATTGAATTTTAGATTTCCCAGCTGACGAGTCCCAAATAGGACGAAATGCGCATCCTGGATTCCACTGCTAGTCACCATCCACAAATTTAATTTTACTTCTAATAGTTTGAAAAATCTTCGTCACTAGTCAGTTAGTATATGATAATCATTATTATAAAAGTCTTTGTATTTCCCAGTGAATGAGTAAATGAATGAATGAATGGACGAAAAAGAACAAAAGGAGATATTATCGTTTTTACTGACATCTGGCTATTTAATGCTGCTGCTAATAGCGCCTGTATCAAAGTATTATTACACGAGAATTTAAAGATCAGGCTGAAAAAAAGTTTATTTCGACTCTATTGAAGAAATAAATCATCCAGAAGAATTACAAAAATTACAAAGAATTTTTCATATTATCAGAAGCACTTCATATGAAATGGATCTATATTGTCTGGAATAGGAATGATGGAATAAGGCGACAGGATTTGACCTGGCTCCACCACCACCACCACTGACCAAGAAGTAACATAATCAACACGAATGCGTGATGAGCAGTTTCATAATGTAAACAAACACACATGCTGCTTTTATAATTTCCTACACTTATGCAATCAAACAATCTATACATGGTTTTATTATCCTTACAGTAACTTGGCAACATAAAAATTACCTAACACTGAAGAAGGATGATTAAGTTGTTATACCCCACCAGCTGAGGATCTGAATATTCAGGTTGAATAATACTTTGAAAAAGCTATTAGCAGCATGTGAGATGATGCTACAGGACTGGACTACACTGACTCCTAGTTTAAAAATAGGAAGTAAAGTGGTAGAGCACGTTGACCGCTTCACTTATTTGGGAAGTACCATCGGACAACGCTAACGGGTTGATCTCTGACGAAATCTCAGCATGGATAGAGAGGGCTAGTTTCGTATATGCGTGATATCCGGCTGGCTATCGACCAGAAGGCGGGTGTACTGGTCATCGGTCCACTCCGTCCTCCTTTATGGCTGTGGCTGAGACATGGCCATTGGGAGTGGAAGACGTGAAAAGATTAGCTGTCTTTGATCATAGTTGCCTGCGTTCTGTCTCCCGTGTGAAATGGTATAATAAGGTGAGCAATATTGAGGTTAGGCTTCGGTCAAGGTCTAGGTAAGGAGGCGAAATCAATCGACGAGGCTGTGAAGCTACATCGACTGAGATGGTTAGAACATCTGTTGCGTATACCTAGTCATCGCCTTCCTCGATAATGGACAATGTTAGCTGACATGGGGTCAGACTGGAGAAGAGCTAGTGGCAGTCAAACCAAAACATGGCTTCATCAGTCAATGAAATCCACAACAGTTAGTTTAAGCCAGTCACGTAGGAAGGTGTAGACTTCCTGGTTGGGGTCCTCGGAACGGTAAAAACCAATGGCTGGAAACAATTGGTGACATGGCTCAAAATCGTTCTCAATGGCTGGCGGAGATGCATTCACTCCTTGTGACTTATGATTTCCGATGAAACTATATTGTTCTTCGTTCATTATTACTATTCCTTTGTGTCACACCTGTGTTTACTGTCTCTAATATGCATTTCTTGTACCTTCTTCTCTTGCTTTGTGTGCTACAAGGAGGGAGTGTGGGGACTTGAACTGTTGCACATCGGTGCAAAGTTTTATGTCGAAAATAGATAGATAGAGAGACAGACCATTAGCAGTAACATTAAATGTTGAAACGTCAGTAAAAACAACAATATCCTTTTGCTCGTTTCCATTAGTTTATTCATTCATCCATTGGGAAATACAAAGACTTTTATGATGAAATTTATTTGCTTTGACAGTGTTGTAACAGCAGAAGGCAAGACATGGAAGCGAACGTATATTTTCAAATGAATTAACCTCACTCTATATATGTCTATACAGTTTATATTCTTTAAGCAATTGGTGTGCGTGTGATTTTGGTTTACATTAAACAACATGGAATAGAACGTATATTATTCTGTTACTAATGCAGTATTGAACTGTGGGAATATGTGAGAATCATATACGGTTGGAACACATTGTCTGTATGCCACCACCACCACCACCACCACAGTATCATTATTTTAGACAGAGATATCCTCGTTAGCTGAAATGTTGGTTTGATAACAGATCAACGTGATTGTTTCAAATAAAATAGGTAATGATAAGGTCGTTTGTCTTGCTTATTGATCTCATGTGTAAGGCGCTCACACACACACACACGTAGTCCTCTGATTCCGACCACTTTCTGGTCATGGAGTGTCTTAAAATCTAAGTTAAATATACGCCATTATCAGAATTAATTGTTAATGTCTAGGATTTTGACCAGGTGTGCAATGCAGTTGATATTGTCTTCCGGCGTTACACAATACTGTTGATGGTTGAAAGACTTGAACAGGAAACTATTGTTCCCAAACTGCATCTGCCGTAAACATTGGCGATTGAATGTTGATATTTTGCAGTGCATACTTTTATTATCTTATCGTAATTTCTTATGTGATGTGAATTCATTGTTACAAAATAATTATTTTATTTTTAGGGCACTTTATGCTATATTTGTTGTATTTACACATTCAGTCCTGATGAGAATTCGCCTTCGTTAGACATCAGTACTGATGGGAATGTACAGATTCCAGATGCCTGTCCATCAGTGTCATCTTTACCTGCTATCGCTTCTTCTTCTTCTGAGATCGTCGTGGCACAGCCAATGTATGTTAATGTTAATGTATGGGATCACATCTTCCAATGCATGAATCAACGCCGTGATCTACTCAATAATTGTCATCATCGTCATCATCAACACGGCCGATTTCCACCTGCTGCTACTACCACTTCTACTACTACTACTACAAGTACTACTGCCGCTGTTATTGCTCCCCCTCCTGTTCCTTCATGTAGTAGTAGTAGTCCTGTTAACTATGTACATAAAATATTTGATGATAAATCTTTGAAGAGAAATGTATCAACAATTTCAGAAACTAGTGGAAGTCCATCTCATAAACGGTTATCTCCATCACTAAACAAAGGTGATTGCAGCAACGACAACAACAATGTACAAGGTAGTTGTCATCTCAGTATTGAAGGTGTTGGTGGTGTTAGTGTTGGAGGTGATGATAATGACCAATATGGTTCAACTAATAATTCTGCTACTACTAATCCTTGTGTTGACTGGGTGGTACAAGAGCAGCAGGTCAGTGGAGAGATATCACGTGGTTGTGATGATACAAATGTTACTGAAATGTAAGTTTTGGTGTTAACAGTAGTAATTTCATGTGTTGTTTTGCAAGGATTTGATTTGATTTGATTGTTTACAGGATTTCGTCATGAGCTGGCATCAGTTAGAGAAGCATTGGAAAACCAGCTTGGGGAGTACTGCTCCAGACGGTTGTTCGGTCCTAGTCTGTGACACTTCAGCAGTAGGCACCCACCCCACTGAAGTTCGAACCCAGTACCTTCCATTTATAAGGCTAGCTAGCTCGTAGACCATTAAGCCACTGGGACCCGACCCGATCCAACGGCCAGTTCATGAATTCTAACCTCTTCCAATTCACGAAATAGCGCGACCACTAACCGGTATTTTGTTTTCCTTATCCTGTATAAAAGGAAGAAATTATTTCGAAGTTGCATACAATATCATTTGTGGAACCATTTACCACTCTGGTATGCTTTTCTAAATGGGCCCAGTATCCTTCAATAGAACTTGTATGAGTTCTACTTATTCAGAATAATTATTGCTTTAATGGTGAATTTAGCCTAGTGAGGTATGTGATAGTTGCGAATATGGTCTCTCCACTTGTCTGTGTGAATATTAGTGCCTGGGAGGACTATTCGTTGTATAATTGATATTAAGACATCAGTACTTCTGTTTGGGATGCATTCTACCAATCCTTTTCGATGATTTGTATTGTACGATCAGTTCTAGCACCCAACACGTGGTTTTCTCTTCTCCTACCGTGGCGACTCATTTTGCGTGTATTAAAGATTGTTTGGTTAATATGAACGACGACGACAGCTATTGCTCCAAGTACAGAAGTAATCCCATTGATCTTTTGTGTGGCGATATTCCGACTGTGTTGCTGATACCACTGCTCTCTGTTTCCACAGATGCTGGTCATGTCAGTAGACAATTTTGTCATACACTTGATATTTTACTAAGGCTAAGGCAGGGTTTCGATTTGGAGAGGAAAGTATCTAAAAACATCAGCATAATGTACAACTTACCGAATCCTACAGACTTCCTCATATAACATTGAATGTATAACCGCCATCAATAATAGCCAGGGAGTACTTCTGAAGAGTCATTATCCCTCATTTTCCACAAAAAACTCAAAAACCAAATCTTGGTGAAACTTGCAATGAAGATTAACTATGTACCGCATCCATTTGTAATGTTGAGCGATCCGATTGGTCGATTCAAGATTATTTGACTTTGGTGTCGTCTATTCTTTACTGTTCCTCTGCTAAGGTACGGCTAGTAACACTCTGTTATAACAGTATCAGAAGATTTTCTCTTATCGGTAAAATGTAAACTTCACCTTTGAAATAATAAGGAGACTTTTTCAGTTAGAAAACAGCTAATCATCTGTGCATGAAATGATGTAAATCAATATAATAAATTATAATTACTTTAGTTTCAAAGTACTACTACTCGCAGTCTGACTAGTTGATAACATGTGGTTCAGTATCTTCAACATTCAAGCTCCACTCTAGCCTTACACTGTTCTGGAGAAATCCAGGATGTGAATATGAGTCTTGTCCTACTTTCGGCTCGTCAGCTGTGCACACATATGTATGCACCTCAATAAGTGGTGGTGGTGGTGGTATTCACCAAGATTACAGGGCCAAGAGGACCACTTTTATGGCAAAGTCAGTTCGTTTAATTTGACTGAAAGAGAAGGCGATACTTGAGAATATCTGCTATACTGAAATAGACACAAAAGCCAGTCTGAGAAAAGCGACGACTAGTATGAATACTTTATTAGACAAAGTACACGCCATATTGTATTTACAAACCCTCAGCCATGAATAATAAAGTAGACGAATATGATTACTTGTATGACATCGAAATCCCTGACAAAATTAAACCACCATAAGTAAACGAATCAGAGACTGTTGAATAAGGTTAACACGCATAAATCATTATGGCCTACAAGGGGAAGGTTGTCCATCCTCACAGTCACCGTTTAAATTCCCCGCTGATTAATTTCACTGAACGAGAACGCTCTGTCTTTGGATAGACCTTTCACATTTTTTCTGAAAGAGTCATAGCATAACAACTCTGTTGCATGTCAAAAGTGTTCTCTGCGAATACGAAATGATCCATTTGTTAGTTGCCAACTTTCATGTACAATAAGACATCAGAAAGAATATCTGACAAGCAGAAGTGTGAGAGTAGTGTTACTGTAGGAGCTGGCATTATGATGATAATGTCAATGAGTGTTTAGTCTTTGCAGTTGTACGTTTTTCCCATCTCATTAACTTTTATTTGACTAAATTGCTCAGTAATTATGTATTTCACCACCAGTTGAATATGTCTACAAGTAGTATCAAGAAATCCCTGTTCATTCGAGATTAATCGAAATCTGGATATGATGAATCTGCCCCTTGTTGTTAGTGCTTAACGAGTGGGTGTCATGAAGGTGGTCTAACGGAATATCGTCGCCGGTGAGCTTTCACCATGTCGTAGGCGTGATGTGTATGCTCATCTGTGTGGGACTGGTGATTGCATTAACACTTTATCATTGCAAATTTGACAGAGAATAGGGTTCACGGCTGATTGAATTCCAACCTATTGATTGAATTATTAATGACCAGGCCTTGTCAGTCGAAGGGCCCTGGTTTCGATGCACAATGGAGGGATTATGGTTGTGCACTCTACGAAGACACGCTTACTAGGGACGGGTCAGCTCTCTCCGCATGCCTTTCACTTCTTCGCTAAACAATGTCCATTTGTGAATATGACATCTAAATTTGGAATTTTACTTATTTCAGGTCAGTGTCTGATAGACCAACAATACCAAGTGGAGCTGTATCGAATTCGCCTGAACCTCTGATAATTTATAAGTGAGTGATTTAGTTATTATGTTTGTTTTCTTTTCACGATATAATCTATCATTGTGGGTTATATGTGTTGAGATAAAGGGATTTCTATCTCGTCTAGATTTGAATCGGTCCTTCGTCATTGGTACTATGCTACGCTATGCCTGCCAGCTAGCTAGCTAGCCAGCCAGCCACCCTTAGGAGGTTGATCTCCAGTGGACGGAGTTCTAGACCTAACTCGCCTCCTAGCGTTTACTAGTCGCTGGTATTAGGTCTGGTAAAGGTGGGAGGTTGGTTGCGACGTCAACAGCCTCCTCCCTCCACCACTGTGGAAAATCCTGAATCTGAAGTTTGAAGCTCTATGTCGCCTTCGTTAGGCAAGAAATGAAAGAAATAATTTTCAATGGACAACAACAGTTAAGAAGTGGCAGATGGTACCCGACATGTCGTTGTTGTTGTTGTTAAACTACACTCCACATGTGAATGGCAGCTGAGGATGCAAAGTGGCCGCTCCCTGTCGGGGCTTTACTAGTAGTAATCTGGCGACTAAATCACTATCCAAGGTTGTCTCATTATCATGTGTCTTTCTAAGTGACAGAAAGTACTCATTGAGTCATGAAGCAAGAATAAAATAAAATTTCCATTACCGATGAAGTTGTCTTTAAAGGTTTTACTAAGATGTATAACTGCTATTCATTGTTGAGTAATGAGAGCATGTGTTTGTGTATGTGCGTGTGTGTGTGCGATTGGAGTTGATTTTGATTGAGTCACTCAGATGTGGTTTCTGGAGATTGAGGCGGACTACCTAATTTTCTGCGCTTGAAATGATTTATGAATTAGGAGTGGAACATAATGATTACCTCGAGTTTAGTATTCAAATAACGTCGTGGTAGTCATCTATTGTCGACAACATCACTCCTTCCAGTGGATCAGCTGTATTTGTGCTAGATATGGGTTGTTCTCACTGAAGCACTCGACTTTCAATCTATGTTTCAAACCTGATTGACGGGATAACTGTTTCGTCCCAGTTTGCAATTCTTCAACGATACGCATCCAATGGGTAGAAGGCTGAGAAGTTCACTCCCCTATGTGGCCACAAGTGCTTTTTCGAAGAGTCCTCAACGTAGGACAAAACAAGCTTTCCAGTAGTACTCCCTACTTTACAGTGTTACTTCGTGATTTACCTTGAAATGGTTTTTTCCCGTATTCAATTCATTATTTGTAATTATGAGTGTGAATGATTCCTTCCCGTGGTAGCAGATATCAATAACTCATATGCTGTGATGCAGAGTGTTACTGATGATTTGTAGGTTCGGCCGACTTGACTAGAATACACCTCTAAAACACCACAAAATCATGGAACCAATCGATGTCTTGAAATTATCTCTCGCACTCAGGGAGACACAAAAGTCGGACTGAGTAAAACGACGTCTAACACGATATCAACTGCTTGTATTCGATAAGATTCATGGCATATTATATTTTCACAAAACCTCAGGAAATTAAGCTACAAATAAACGAATCAAAACTATGCAATCAGGCTGTCACATCTCACCCGCGTACATAAATCTGAACTTCATGACTAATATAGACATTTTTCCGTTCTGACACCACCTCCCTCTTTCTGTTAGTTTTCAATTGTGGGACTCCTAGATGTTACTATATGCGTATGTGTGTGTACCTTCTGTCTATGATACCATTCTCAAATAAATTAAATCTCATTAAATTGATATCACACATACGTATATATATATATATGCGTGACTCTCAAGTCTTTCTGGTTTTTCCATTTTGATTTTTGTCTTCCTACTGCAATATGTAGTGCTAAGTGGTAAGATCAGCTTGAACACTATTCTGTGTGCTATTCTGATTACTGCTATTATCATTGTAATGATTTGGTGAGATTTTAATAAAAATGATTCATGGAATGTGTGTGTGTGTATACGTCTTAGAAAAGGAGTGTAAAACTATATGTTCATGAGATTAATGGCAGGCGAATAACCAGGTGTGTGTGTGTGTGTTTATATTCATTCCCTATTTCTACCTCGGCCTTATTTATTTATTTATTCATTTGAATTGCTAGTGTTTCAGCTACTACTTCTACGTGTAAACGTCTTGATCTCATCCCTCTTTTGAAAAAGTTTGATGTGATCACATTAACATATAAGCATAGAATAATACACCAGTTGATTTGCTCCTGT